ACTAACATACTAGGTAGTGCTAGTAGTACTTAACATCCTTGGTGGTTGACAATGACTGTAAATTTGTGGGGAGGTTTATTTTTCAAATGAAATAACCCACGGTTTAGAAACATGGGTTATTCTTCATATGAAATACTTACACAATTCTAGGTTATTCTTCACCAAAAATAACCCACCTTTTTCAAGGTGAGGAATTCGAAAAGGGGGATGCGCGCGTGGGTAACGGAGGGCGAAGAACAAAAAGAGGTTGATTCGATCCCGAAGACTTACAACTTGCAACATCAAATCGTACGTACTCGTACTATGTACCGTACGTATCGAAGTATGAAAGTCCTCCTGGTCCACGTCGACCGGTCTAAAAAATTATTATGACCCAGTGGTGTCTCGTACCGGTAGAAGTGATCTGGCTCGTATGGTACGTAAGAGGTCCCCGAACTTTCGACTTCGCAGTTCGGTTCATCCGTTGAAGCGAAATCTTTCCTCCCCATACCGGTTCCTAACATATCCATACGTAGAGAGACATAGGTAGAAGCCGGCCGTCAATAAATGACTGGATGCTTCTTTAAACTAATACTTCTACCGTACTTATGAGAAGTATAGAACTCTAATGACATCTAATTCTATTTCCATTAATATCCACCGGCTACGCACCATTACGTACGGTTGTTAAGGTAGTGTCTGTAGATTTTTTTAAAATTACTCCATCTTCAGGAACATATGTTGTCTGGAAAGTGTTCTCCACCACTGATTCCATGTATTTCAGTTTTTTGCTATTTAACTACTATTTAGTCAATTAGGTATAAGTCATTGATAGGAATCCGCGTGCATCCTCGCGCAAGCGAGATTTGATTACAGTTTCCTAGGGTAGCTTGAGCGGCAAATGCTGACAGGCGTTAACCGCCGAAAATCTATTTCGATGAAGGCATATATCATCCTTAAAATGAATCAATTTATGTGGCACTTCATCGTCTGATTTTTTGTTGTGTTTTAGGAAGCAACAAAAAATCACAAAGGATCACTGAACCATACAAATTGTACGACGAAAACAAAGCATATCAAACGTTCTGTTACTAACAGAAAACATTCCGTGCCCAAGTGACGTTAAATTGTTTACTATTTTCTAAAATTAATTAATTTCTGGACGCAATACCCAAGTACCCAGTTTCGTCCTAATAATAATAATATTATTATCGGTTGTTTGGCATCGTCTCGTCGATCTCGCCACTATTTGAAACCGGGGAATTCAAATTCACCCACCAGTGTGGATACGAGTACCCATCCCACTAACACCATAGGGTAATATCACCACAGGCTAACGGCCAACACTAACACTCACCAAACGAAAAGCAAAGCAAATATCTAGCGTGATTGACTTGTTGTCATCGGATCTTTTATTAGGTGTAGCGTACCACTTCCTAAAACCCATCCAAATAGAAGCTCGATAAGTGCAAAGCACCTCAGAAGAACTATGGAGGGAGGAAACGCAGCTGCTCCTTCTGCCACTGGCGAGCAGGGTGTATTCAACAACGCCGGAGCTCCTTCCACTACCACGGGTGGAAGCGGAAACTCTGGCGCCAACGGAGGCAACGACGGCGAAGACGGCAGCGGCCGGTGGGGATCCCGCCGGCTCAGCAACGTCGAGCAGCAGCTCCTGGCCGAAGACAACACCGCGACCGCCGGTGGTTTCTATCCGCGTGGACCAGCCCCCGGCCTCCAGGGGGTCACAGCTGCAGGGATGGGAATGTACGGGGGGGCCAACGATGCGGCCGCCCAGGGTGTTCGGGCCCAGCAGATCAACAGCATCTACGGAGCCGTCGGTCTCGGTGGTACCGCGGGCCTGGGCGGGCCCGGCGGATTCCGAGGGGTTCCTGGTCTGCTGCCCGGGCAGTTCGAGGATCCCAGTGGGGGCCTAGCCGGCTTACAGGGAGCTGGGGGAGTTGGTGGTCCACCGGGCCTCGGGGGCCTGAACGCTATGAACGGCCTCGGAGTCAGGGGACCGGCCTCGGCCCTCCAGCAGCAGCAACAGCAGGCAATGGTCGCCCAACAGCAGGTACTGGCCGCTCAGCAACAAGCGGGCGGGGCTGACTTTCAGGGATTGATGCCTACGGGTTTCGAGGGCGCTGATGCCTCCGGTCTTCCCGGCAATCTGGCAGCAATGACTGGCTACCCCATGTTCAATCCAGCAGCGGCTGGTTTGGGGGTGGGCGCAGATGGCAGCGCCGGGGGGGGCGGCATGATGAATCCAAATGCCGGTCCCCTGGGTGGTGGAGCTCCTAGTGCCGCTACCATGCAGGCTGTTAGGAATGCTACAGCCGGTGCTCCCTCCCTCTTTGACCAGGGATACCAGTTCGCACGATCGGAAATGGCGCTTGTTCGCCACCAGGCCGCCTTTAACAACAATCTGATGGGTGCGGGGGTCGGTCTAGCGGGGCTGGACCGACAGGGTGCTGCGGGCCTCCGTGCACTCGGGCCCAATCCCTACGGTAGCTATCCCACCGATCCCATGGGGATGGGAGCGGCCGGGCCGGTGGGAACCGATCCCTATCTAGCGAGGGGCGGTGCCGAGGGAGGCGCTAACGCCCAGCATCTGGCAACGATCCCGGCTATTCGATTGGCCCAGCACAGGAGTGCGCTACAGCGCAGAATGATGGCCAACAACCTACCGGAACGCAAGGACGGATCTTTCCCGGTGGTTTTGTACCAGGAGAGCGACGAACACAAGCTAACCGCATACCAGTGCCTGCTTCGAAAACAATTAGAACTCTTCGAGGCAGATGAGGACGATGTCCGGTGCAGTACGCGACAGGGCAGAACAGCCCCCATTAAACTCGGCCAGGTCGGCCTCCGGTGTCGCCACTGCGCCGGGGTACAGCTGGCCGCTCGCACGAAGGGTGCCGCATATTATTCCCAAACCGTGGAGGGAATTTACCAAATTGCTCAGAACATGTCAAAGGTTCACCTGTGCGAGCGTTGCTATCGAATTCCTCGCGACGTCCGTCGCCAACTAATAGTCCTCCGAAGCGATTGCCGCCGGGCGATTGGTGGAAAGGAGTACTGGTCGGAAAACATCCGTGCCCTGGGCGTCTATGTCGACGAAGGCATCCTACGCGTCAAGAAAGCTCCCAAAGAAGAATCAAAGGAGGAATCTAAGGAAGAATCCAAGGACGAGGCAAAGGATGAGCCAATGGAGGAATCTAAGGAAGAATCGAAGGGCGAGGTAAAGGATGAGCCAATGGAGGAATCCAAGGATGAGGCAAAGGATGAGCCAATGGAGGAATCTGAAAAAGCTTGCAAGGAACAATCCAAGGACGACGATAAGAAGGGAACCGAGGACGAATCAAATAAGGAATCAAAGATTAAGTCGGAACCGAAGGATGACTCAATGGGAGAAGCCGACGAAGACGACAAGAAGGAAGACAAAGATGAAGCAACAGAGAAATCAAAAGAGGAATCCAAGGATGCAGTAACCAACGACCGAGATAAGAAGGACGATGCAGCCTCGAAAGAAAAAGAGACAGACAATGCGAAAAAAGGAGCAATGGAAGTTGAAGCTGCAGAGAAAGGGGATGACAAAGAGACGAAGGAAACACAGGACGGAGCAACTCCTGTGAATGATGACGAGGAAGAAACGGAAAAACTGACTTCGAAAGGCGATGCCGCGGATGCGGAAGAGGACCACAAGGACTCTGAAGAAAAATCAGTAGGAGGCGGGGTGGGCGAAAAGGATGAACAGAAAAGTCCCACAAAAGAGAAAGAGGACGAGAAGAAGACAAATGAAAATGTTATGGAAGCGGACAAGAATGAAGACTCCAAAAAACAGGAGAATGACGAAGACGAGGAGGAGGGAACGACAGAAAAAGACACGAAAGAAAGCAAGAATGATGATCAGGACAAAAGCTCAGTCACAGTCCACATCTGATGGTCGGTTTGAGGACTGTTGTGATCCATTGTGTAACGGAACACTTCAGCAGCAGATACTAGACTCGAACGAAGATTGAGTATACAATCTATCTACTGTGTGTATGCATACTATATATTATATTTCTACTCAATGAAAAAAAGTCTTTTCTCGTGAGGGAGAAAAATCGGATCAATCATAAAAAATGCTTTCTTTCTGACGAAGTTGTTGGCATCCTTGGCGGATGGCTCAGCTTGATGTTCGAGGCTTTACTCGAACCTGAAACGATGACCATTTCTTGTTTTTCAGTCACTCGGAAGAAAAATTAAGCTAAAAATCTACGATTAATCTATGACTATCAATACGAGTTAGAATGAAAAAAAAAACATTTCATACAAAACTTCCAATAGCTTTATGAAGACTGATTTTTGACTGTGTCCATCCTGAGCAACCATGCCCATTTTACTGATTGCAGTGGGCTCTTCGCTTTTCCCTTCTGTGACGGTGACAGAAGTTGATGATTCTTTGAGACGCCATTTCGAGAATTCTTTCACAGGAACTATAGGCAACACGAAATGTCCCAGGAACACCGAATGAACTTCCCGGTAGGACAAAAACATTCTCTTCTCGAACCAGAAGACGGACGAAGTCCATATCGTCTTGAATCGTTTCGTCGAGGCAATCCAGATCCAAGTGAACGATTGCATACATAGAACCTTGTGGCGGAGAGCGAATGTCGAGGCAGTGGCATTCATTCATTAGCTTCGAACAAAGAAGAGTGGCTTGACTTTTTAGAACGTTTCGAAAGTCCTCTTTCCAGCGAGCAAGTCCCGGGGTGGTCGATACGGACAACAGAGCCGGGATTACAGATTGCTGCAGGTGTGATACACCGTGCTGTAGATTGGCCAGACGACGCGCTCCCTTTTCAACTTCGCGTAGCGATCCGTAACTATTGTCCTGGAAAGCGACCCAGCCGATTCTCCAACCTGGGACCAGGAATTGTTTCGAGAACCCGCTCGTGGTGATGATCGGAACTTTCCGTCCGTGCACGGCTGCCAATCGAGCCATTGGATGGAAACGGTTCGATCCAAAGGTCAGATCTCCATATACTTCATCGCTAATTATTGGTATGCGATACTTGAGTGCAAAGCCCAGAATTTGGGTGAGATGAGTCTCGGAAAAGACGGATCCATGCGTCGAAGGATTCGTTATGACCATAGCTCTAATAGCGCGACAACAAGTATTGCCGTTTTTGCTTGTCATTATTTCTTCGAGGTGATTCATATCGCATTCCCATCCCTGGTGGGGATCGAGGCGGTATCGAATCACGTTTGCTCCAATCGAAGCTGAAATTTCTTCATACAGGGGCAACCCTGGCTGGGGAACGAGCAATGTCGTGCCTGGGTCTAGAAGTGATTCAAGGGAAAGCTCCAAAGCCCCCGAGCATCCATTTGTGACAATCACGTGTTCCGGACTCAGTTGGTGTTCCGGAGACGAATGGTGTGAAGCAATGGCGCACCGAGATTCCGGCGAGCCGCAAGCGTGTGTGTAGCCAGTGGTGTGGGGCTTGCGGACTACTGCTTGAACGATGGCCTCGATGGCCTTGGTGCACGGGGGAACATGAGCAAACGAGGAGTCTGCGCTCTGCAAAAGGTCCAAAAGATGCATGAGAAATTTGCGAGAAGAAACAAACAAATGAGTGAGTGATTGGAAAGTCCACGTTTCGCGGGACCACATGGGTTCGAAGAAGCATTGCTCGTACTTACCGCCAAAGAGATCGGGTCCTTCTTGTCGGTACGTTGTGAACCCAGCTTGATGCCGTCTATAATGGGTTGGATGATGCGTTGGACGGAATTTTTTAAGCCCGTTCGATTCGATTTCACCGAAGAGGGGCAGAGCCACAATAGCTCTTCCTTTTCTGCTTCGTCTTCGAGCTTTCGTAGTTTAGCGGGTCGTCCCAAACAGATTGGATCCATTCCGGCGTTTCTCTTGGCATTGCAGCTGCCAATTGGAGGTGTGACCGGAATGCCGGTTGCTGATAGAATTGCATCCCCTTTATAGAGCGGTAATGTTTTGTAGTAGATGGTTGTCTTCATTTTGCCAGTCGGATTCCTGAAACTGAAACACGGATTGCTTTCTACGTAGCCATAGACTGATTTGAGGGTGTTGTGTCGAAACGAAACCAACGTGCAGAATCTGTATACCTTTGCGAAAAACGTTATCGATTGACGCAATTGCTATGAGACAATCTCTGATGAAAAGTCCCATGTCAACATAATGACAGCAACGATGTTTAGTGCTATCTATGCAATTGCAATTTTGAATTTCAGTCACTGATGGAAAGATGCCGACAGATCCTTTCGATCCCAAAATGTGATACTCTGGCATTTTGGTTCGAGCTTGAAAGTGCAGTGACACAATTTGGGAACATGAGGAGTACGCAAGAACAATATTGTTACGTACGCTTAGCTGTCATGTTTCACGATTGAAATTGTGACACGGAATGCTGGAACCATGTCGATTTCAATTTTTTGGAAAAAAATTAGATTACCAGGACCCCCTAGGTACCGAAAAATGTGATCAGAAACAACCAATTTGTGATCAGTTTTTTGTGATCAATCTTGATCACAAATTTGAACAAATGCAACGGATACGTACGTACTGTATTAGAAGGATACGTACGTATACGATACAAGCTCCGAAGAAATGAAT